AAGGAGGCAATGGCAAACCACTTCTGAAAAACCTTGCCAAGAAAACTGCAGGGACTTGTCCAGGCAGCCTCCGAGAACTGGACCAACTGAATGGATTAAAAAAAAAAAAAACCCACCAGGCCTAGTTCTGTATACTATACATTAAGAAAGATGTAGATATCTAAGATCCTCAATAGCATGAAAAACAAAATGCTACATTTCTAGAGATGTAAAATGAACCTTGTGTATTAGGAGTATTATTATTTAAGAGACTTACATAGTTCTAATGGTCTTAAAATGTAGAACATAGATTACAGTTGAATGCTAGAAGTAACTTGTTGATAGTAATAGCAGTCTAACAACGGAACCAGAAGGATAGCCAGCTTTGCCCTATCTGCAAGCAGACAGTGGACAACTGTTGTTGAAAGATGCCATAACTCTGGATTTCCTTAATTGAGCAGGGCAATGGATTAGATAGCCTACAAGAGCCTGTTAAAGCTATTCTTCTATTATGTCTTGTATTTCTTATTCCATCCTGTATACTCCACAAATTTGTTTCAATTTACCTCATCACCTTCAGGCTGTAGACAGTTGACAGCTGGACAAATGGCATTCTCATCTTCAGAGTCTTCCTGTTCAGAGAATGACATTTCTGAAAAAAGCAACTGACTTTCATCGGTATGCTGAATGTCAAACAGCCTCTCTCTTTCTAACTTGCTATTACTCAGCTCCCTCAAATGAGTCAATTTCATTTTTTTCTTGTTTGGAGCTATTTTTCTTACTCTTGTTCTCATCTCACTGCAGAAATCCTCTCTTTCAAAGCGTCTCTTCAGTTTCTTTTCCATAGAACAGATTCCATCTCTCTTCCCTCGACAATCATTCTACAAGAAACATATTTTAAATTAAGTACTATGTAGCCATTTTTATACTTATTTTTCATGCAGCAATTGTCTGTGTACAATATAAGAAGCATACTTGTAGCAATGTACTTAACTTTGGATAATTATAAAAATAATCTGTATATTTTCTTGTTGCATAGCTTCAAAGTATCTCTTCATTAGTGCTTGTGTAGGCTTGAATTAAAATTGATAAAAGAAGCTTTAAAAGAGAAGGGACAGTGTATTACCTGGTACAGCCTGGAATCTCCTTTTAACCAATATTTCCACTCTTGTGTTGGTATCAAAGCCTACAACCCTCTTTCTTTTGGCCAGAGTTCTAGCTTCACTATAGGTAAGGTTTATGTGTCATGGAAAGCCCTGGGGGTCACAAGTGGTATTTAACCTTTTCCAGCAATTTCCTAAGAGTGGTCTCTCTTGCTCATACCACCAACCACCCCTCCCCATTTCCCCTCTACCATCATAATGCTTGCTGCCCCAATTGTGCTAAGGAACAGAGTATGCAAGGCTAAGTAGGCAAGCAAAAACTGTTCTCTAAAATTCAAGAAGTCAAAATGCGAACAATGGATTTAAGTTACACCGGAAAGCAGATTCCACTGAATGTTAGGATAAATTTCCTAACAATAATAGAAGTTTGACAATAAAACCAATAAGCCAGAGAGGTTGTAGGCTCCCTTCATTGGATGTGTTCCAAGAAAGGCTACATAGCCATCTACCAAAGATCCTTTAATTTGAATCCCTGCACAGAACAGAGGTAGATTGGATGGCCCCTTCCAATTCTACAGGAAAATTTGATGGCCCCTCTTCATTACAACCAGATCCACAGAAGGATAGGAAGCACAATGGTACTGGTGAGGAGGGATATACAAGGAGAGTGGGATGAATCTCTGGTGGAGTTTTCTTGGGAAAAACTGCATCATATCCTGGTGGTTGGCAAGCATGATAAAAGGAGAAAATTCAGAACAGTGTCTACATAATTTAGTTAACTCCTGGTAAGAGCAAAAATACTCACTTAGAGTATTCTTAAGGATGTACCTATGGGTCCCACTGCACCCATAATGTCATGCTGAGGGATGAGGTCAGGAGTTGAAATGTACAACTGACTGGTACAGGGGGAAAGTCTCACTCTCACCAAGGATACACTGATGTGGATACACTGATTAGCCATGCTCACAATTTCTACTCCTGCTTGTAGCAGTTCTTTAACATTCTGAAAATGCCCTTGATTATTTTAATAGCTGTAGAAGAAGTGAAGAGTAAACTTTTTAAAAAATCTATTATCCTAGAAACTGTGCCCAAGCAATGCTAGAGTTTCTGAGAGTCCAGTCCAGTACTTACTTTTTCACTTGTTGGTCCTATTAATGACTTTTGCTTTGTAAATAAGATCTCATATAGCTCTTGTATTTCAGGTAGTGATACTTGTAGTAACTGGGCTTCCATCATTAGCTCATTCAATTCTGTACTTATGGCTACAATAAATCCAAAATCGATTTTTTAAAATTCTCCAGAGGTGATAAAGAAAATTCATTTTACAAACACTCATCCTGTGTTTGTATAATCACATAATACATACATACATTTATATATTATCCCATAAATAAATATTAGATCACCACAAAATCAGAAAGGCTCAAGACAACCTGCATTAAAGACTGAATAAAAACAAACAGAATACAAAAGGTACAAACATTAAATACGCTATGCCAAAGTACCTAAGAAGTAGTTCCATCCATCCCTCATCAATTATCACTCAGCAGGATCACAAAACACCTTAGGCCATGGCCTGTTCAGAAAGCTAGGTTTTCAATGCTTTCCTAAAACAGAGCAGGGAGGTGGTCAAATGGATCTCTGGGGAAATAGTTCTCCAGGAGGCAGGAGTGGCAACAGAGAAGACCTGCCTCTGAGATCCCCACAAGATGTATTGATTTATTTATTTTAGAAATGTATACGGCTGTCAAATCTGGACAGTGTACAATACACTCAATCATATAATACATTTTTTAAAAACCCATATGCCATAAAAAAAACCCCAACCATTAAAAGACAATCAAATATGCAGGACCCATAATCCCCTCTAACCAGGGAAACAGCCAGATTTTCTGAGTTTTTTGAACACAGCCAGGATGGGGGCCATATGTATTTTGGGGGGGATGGTATTCCAAGGGCAGGTGCTGTGACAAAGAAAGTATGCTTTCTAGTCTCCATCAGATGGGATTATTTAACTGAGGGGGTCTGGAGCATACCCACCCTATCACATCTTATAAGATGGACAGACACATGAGAGATCTCATAATATATTTAGGATTTTATATTTCAACACCAGGAAGTAAAAATACTTACTATGAAGGGGAATGCAGTTTTGTCCTGTAGAAAAAGAAGAGTGTAAATGCATGGGTCTGTTATTCCACTCATGAGGCAATGAGAAAGATGTGGCACCAATTGTCTGTGAAACCTGAATTAAAAAAAAAACAATTAAACTCCACTTTCTTCTTATAATAGTCTATAAACATGAATGACCAATACATTAATATGTATTACCGATTAAATCAGAATTGTCTACTTCATACTTTATCTTTAGAAAGTTACATTTTGTCCCCATTCATTTTGGGAGCAAAAGTATGCAGTATAGTTCTAAAAGAGAATAGAGTATTTACAAAGAAATCAATAGCAGCACACTTGACAAGGAAGTCAGGAAAATTTAAACCCATTAATTTCTGCTCCCAAGTAGTCTGATGGAAAACATAAAGCTAGAGTTATTAAACTGGCAGAAGAACAAATCATTCTAAAAATAAGCAATATAGGTAACCCAGGCTTTAGCTTTTTATATATTCAGTAATATATAAAAAAAAAAATTTTTTTATTTATGTGTCACAAATGCTTTTATGCTGCTTCAGTTGCCAGACTCTAATCAATAGATATATTCAATTCATTAATATTATCTTAAGTATTTCACAAAAAAACTCATTATCTTTACCAATCATGTAAGAAGTTAAGTAACTTTGGAATGATAGGTATGAAGAAACAATAAGGGCAACAGGATTAAGCTTCCAAAACAGAGAAATATTAGTAAAGAGGATTGTACTGGGGCAGGTACGATTTAATTTATTCATAAATGATCTCCTAATCACAACAATTAATGTAAAATTGGATGAAATTTACAAAAAGGAGCAATCTAATTGGGCTGGGACTTGTGAAAGCAGTATAACAACACTGAAAATTCAGAGCATAGCAGCAATGAAGAAAATGTCTTCTATACTAAAGTTTGCTCCTATCAAAAGATATAGTTCAGAGAAAGATATAGTGAACGACTATCAAATCCATATTCAGCAGAACTGGATCACAATCCCCATCAAACTGAAAAGTTTGGGCCCTGTCTAAACAGGGATGCAATACAGGTTTAAAATCATATGAATGATGTGGAAAGAGGGATATCAATTTTATACACATGAATATCAAAACTTGAAATTATTTCATAAACTCTATTAATTATAAATTCAGGGCAGACATGAAAAAAATATTACTTTAGACCAGGCCTGCACAACATGTAGCTCACCAAGTGGCCTTGTGCAGCCCTCCAGCATTTTTTTTAAAGAAAGTAATACATTCCCCACCACTCCCACCACTGGGATGTGCTACCAAGCGCCTCCATGCCTCACTGCTGCCACCAGATCCAGTGCTGCCACCACTCCCCTAACCACATAACAGCTGAACAGCATGCCAGGTATTCCTTTGAGACCTGCAATGAGTTTTAACTTATCATTGTGGTCCTTTTCCCTCTACAAGTTGTGGAGGCCTGCTTTAGACTATGAATAATTACTTTTATGGAATCACTTGCATAAATAGTCATAGACTTAGATTATGTTTAAAGATAATTAAACAATCAGCTGAGAAGAGGTCCATCAACAGCTATTGACAAGGATAACTCACAGGAAATAGTTAATGAAAACCAGTTGCTGAGGGAGGGGGCAGCATAAATTGCTTTTACATCTTATGCATAGGTTCCCATTCCCTCACACCCTCAGTTGATTTGGTCCAAAACTGACTGAACTAAGTGACATCAGAATAGCTGATTTAAGACTACTCTGAAAGTCCAAAGCAAAGGGACTGTTATACACAGCTTCATTATAACAACCAAGCAGATCATAAAGAAAACAAGATCCAAGGAGAAATTATTTACTCACTTCTATATGTGAAGATTTTTGACAGTGACATTAAGTAGCTGAAATCTGTATGTGTGTATGGACAAATGTACTGAAAGCTGCTTAGTTAATAAACGTATATGAATCAAGACTTGGAATACTTGAAATAGCTTGAAATACATCAATAGCATTTTATCCAAATTGCGACTGCTCAAAATTTAGTATTGTGCAACTACATTTATTGTTGGGTCAGGTATGTGCACCCATTTATATATACACCACACCCATCCACACATACTGCACTGTTGAGTTAATAAGGCTTTTGCTTATCATCCCAAAAATTCTCCACATGATAAATCATTCTCCACTGTTGATTCTGAAGAAACAGACAGAGTCTTCACAGCTGTGAGTTCAGCTACTTGTGTTCTGGACCCATGCTTCTGTGGTTTGTTATGGCCTCTCAGGAGGTGGTATGTAGTTGGGTCCAAGCAGTGGTTAATGCCTCATTGCAGGACAGGGTGGTGCCATCTGCCTTGAAGGGGATCGTGATGTGCCCCCTTCTCAACAGGTCCTTTTTAGACCTTCAAGCAACTTTCATCCAGTCTCCAATCTTCTCTTTCTAGGGAAGGTTGTGGAGAGGGTAGTCGGCACTCAGCTTCAGAGGGCCCTGGATGAAGTGGATTATCTGGACCATTTTCAGTCTGGTTTTAGGCTGGTTACAGTAATGAAACAGCATTGGTCACACTCATGAATGACCACCGGAGGGCTCAGGATAGGCCCTCCTGGATCTCAACAGTTTTCAATGCCATCGACCATGGTATTCTTCTGGATTGGCTTCGGGGGTTGGGAATAGGGAGTACTGTTTTGCAGTGGTTCTCCTCTTTCCTCTGTGGCCAGTCCCACTCAGCATCTGTGGGGGGAGAAAGGTCCAGGCCTTTGCTTTATGGGGTGCCTCAGGGTTTGGGTCTCTCACCACCCTATTTAAAGTCTACATGAAACCGCTGGGTTAGGTCATCTATCTGCATGCGGTTAAGTATCAACAGTATGCTGATGATATTCAGTTGTACATCTTAGCCCCAGGCCAGGCAGGCAATGCCATTCAGGTGCTGATCCAGTGCCTGGAGGCTGTAAGAGTCTGGATGGAGAGGAACTGGCTCTAACACTACCCTAACAGGATGGAATGGCTTGGGGTTTTTGGCCTTCTTGGATTTTTGACTCTTGATGGGGTAGCACTCCCCTGGGCAGAGCTGGTGTGCAATTTGTGGGTCTTCCTGGACTCATGGCTCCTGCTTGAGGAGAGGATGGCAGCTGTGAATAGGGGACCTTTGCATAGATCCATCTTATGGGTCAACTGAGCCCATTGCTGGATTGGGAAGCTTTGCTCAGTCACTTATGCCTTGATCACTCAATGCACTCTACATGGGGTTGCCCTTGAAAACCATCAAGAAATTACAACTGGTCCAGAATGCAGTGGCACGCACAGTTGCCCCTCAGTTTGCCCATTATTACATCACTGCTGTGTGAGCTGCACTGACTTCCAATTTCTTTCCAGGTGCAATTCAAGGTACTGTTTATCACCAGACTTACCCTGGCACAGGGCCAGGTTATTTGCTGTAATGCCTCTCCTTGAGGATATCTGCCTGCTCCACCAGACAGGGTGAATGCGCTCCATGTTCCTTCTCTTAAATGTTGTCATCTAGTGGAACCTAGGAAGCATGCTGCCTTAGTAGCCGCTCCTGCCCTGTGGAACAGCCTTCCCCTCTGAGAATAGGCAGGCCCCCTCCCTTCCAGTTTTCTGGAAGACTTTAAAAAGATGGCTTTTCCCCCAAGTGTTGGGATATAGGGTGAGGCTGGAGCCCAGCAATTGTGGTTTCTCATGTATTGAAGTGCTGGTTTTGGGCATTGGGAATTTTTTCTGGATATTCTTATTGTTTTTATGTTGTTATCACTATTGCTGTGAGCTGCCCAGGGTTATTAGATTGGCAGCCATACAAGTCTAGGGAGGGAGGGAGGAAAGTCTGATATATCACCTTTCCCCTTCAAATCCGTATCCCTGCAGAGCCCTACCTAGTTATCAACTGGCAGTTTGGAAAATCACTATAACTTTTCATGGCTCTGCAGGCCCAGAAAAAGCAGCAAGGCACCACACCCCTTGATTTACTTATTTACTGTTATTTATCTAAACAGTAAAATGTGGAAGAACTCATGCTGGTGATCATATAGCCCTTTGCTAGAAAATAATTAAAGTCTTACCTTATTAGTCTCCTGCAATTGGCCTGCCATGGTTTGCCATCTGCTATACAATATCCCTGAGTCCACTTTATCTTGTAAAAGTTTTATATTCCCTGAGGATAACATTTGTTGTGCTCTATGTTGCCAGTTCACGGTTCTCTCTATCATATACCGTAAGGCGTCTCCCTCAGGCAGTCTCACTCGAATTCGCTGTAAGGAGGCCAGTAAAGGTAGAATCTTTTCTAAAGGTGGCTTTTCAGATCTATGGCAGTGAGGACAAAGCCATACCCAAGGTCCCTGCAAATTGCTGGGCATTGAAACACAGCTAGTATGGAATATTCCTCTGCACAGCTCACACTGTATCATTGGTGCTGCTGGATCTCTCTGACAGAGGCAAACTTTGATCTCTACATTCTGTTCATCAGAAAAGATTTTTTCTTCATTTACTGCTCTCAGAGAATGCAGTGCTTCCATTTCTTTTAAACGGGCTTCACCAAGTGTGGCCATCTGATAACAAATGACATGAAAATTACTTAGGAACATTAAAAAAAAATCCCTAAAATGCTCAATTACAATTTTCTATAACTCTTTCAAAAAAAGTTCTAAAGAAAGTAGACTCTGCTGATTTCTCAATTTTTTTTTGAAATATACTTCACCATCTGCTGTTTGGACAGATGTTAATATGTCAGATGTAGAATACAAAGCTTTACTTTTATTCACAGACATCCAAATAAAATGCAGAGAAAATCTGATTTTACATTAGTAAATTCAAGAATACACACTAGTATTCTAAACAAAAAAGTACTATTGTACATCTGAAAGAATGGGAAAAGGAGAAGCTTCATAAAAGAAGCTATTCTAAGCACACAATTTAAGTTCATTTCAGAATATATACATACCGCAGCCGCAGTTTCCTTACTCTCAGATAATGCTCTTTCTAAATCACATAAGCTCTCAAGTTTGGTGCTCTTTTTTTTCCCATTTGGAACTGATTCTTTTGTTTTCTTTGTTTTTCTTTTAAATCCTGATGTTCCAATGTCACATCTTGGACATAACACCTGGTAAAAATTAAAATTACTATAATTTTTCTTGTATATCACAGAGCAATGTCATGTTCCCTATCAACTCTGCCAAGCCAGATCTGGAGGACTGATTATATATAACCTGTTACAGAGATCACATGTATTATCTGTTTCTAAAAGCCTCCATGAAAATTTGAACATACCCAGATTAAAATGCCAATGTGCAGTTTAAAGGTAGGCAGGCATTTCCAAAACTTTACAAAATAATTAATAGAACTGAGCCAGGGAGAGTGAGTTCTTGGCTACAAACCAGTAACTGAATAGACTGGATTGCTTTGTAGCACAATTCTTCTTCCTCATATACATCTGTATGAGCCCTGCCAATTGAAAGAGAAATATTCCACAGCATAATCCTTTCTAGTCATCAACTGAAGTGCTTTCTTTAGGTTCACCTACATGATCTGCCAACATAAAAAAATCAGCATAAAAGATTCCTCATGTGAGGGCAAAAGCAAACAGCTTAACACCCAATGTTCTGTTAAAATAACATTGCACTAGTGGTAATCACCCTGCCCTGAAGGGTGAGACTCTAAGCTCCCTGCACTGCATGGGCAGATGAAAATACCACAAAAACTGAATCTTGCTTCTACTATAAATAAGGCTTGAATTTTGCATTTAGCAGTTGCTGGCTTTCTTCTTTAATGGCTTTTCTATTTCATGTTAAAAAAAGAAGAAAAATAAGTCCAAAGAACTCTGTACTTGAATTACTACCTGCAAAGCTTCTACTTCCATTATTGGCCAGGACAAGCCCGAGACCTCAGAAACAATGTTCATCTTATAAATGATCCCAGACAAGCATTTGGCACAACCTTAATGCTTAATTATCACTTGCTTAATTTCCATGATTGGCATACATAGATGCTCCACTCAAAGTAAATATGTACATAAATTACCTCCAAAAGAGAATAAGAAGAGCCCTCAGTCAAGAAAGTATTGCTTGCACACTCTTTCCAAACTTGAACTTCAGCCACTAAAGACTCTAGCCTTGGCAGATATTCCAGATGAACCGGAATAGAGCGACTTCTTGTGACAAGTTCTACAAGTGTATCTAACACAGGAACACGTCCACCAGCCTAATAATGTAGAAATGTTAAAAATATATAGTGAAGTTGAAGATATACAAGATGAATCAGACATTTTGTGTCAGACAACAGTAGTCATTTGTTTTAAAATATAATTTGTTTTTATTACTTATTACTGTAAGTAATAAGTAACTACATTACTGCTTTTATAATTTGCTATAGCTATAAAATCAGCCAAATATAAATGATTTTTTGTAAATAAAAATGTGTATCTAGATTGCTGCAGAGGCATTATATTATATAATGCCTCTGCAGCAATCCAGTTATTCTTGTATGATATAAGGTAAGGTAAGGTAAGGTAAGGTAAGATACAAGAATAGCTGGATTCTTCTACTCTATGCTGTTTTTAGAGGAGTAATTACTCTTTTCAAGGAAACAGCAGTTACATAAGTTATTATTGTAACTGCTTCCAATCAAATATCACACAGATCTCAGAAATAAAATTATAGTGAAATTAAAGTATAAACATCACCTGCAATTATTAAATTTTTCTTCCTACCTGGAGGCTCTCCACTTCTTGTAGCCAGTCTTTGGCTTTCTTTACAGCATCTTTCAGAGCTATTCCATTTGGAAGATAAGCAGGGATATCATCTATTTCCTTCACTGCTGCTTCAAGACTACTTAATGACTGTCGTGGTCTTAAAATAAAGAAAACACAGCCAAAATGTGGTGCCATACTGTCATCACTTAAAAACTGATACCAGCCAAACAATCTCTCCTATAAAGAAGCAACAATGTCTGAAAAAAAATGCCTCAGTATAATAAAAGGACAGATTCTTGCTAAGGTTCAGAAAAGTGATTAATTCTATATACAAATAAAGAGTCCTAACTAGTCATCTTCTTGATACACCAGTTTTCCATCTTTAGGTTTGTTGTTTTTGTACAGAAGATATGTGAATGAAACACAAGTTTATTCTAGCAGAGACAACTAAGCCCAAGACTTTGTTGAAGACTCCTGTCTCCCAAATTCTAAGGTTTCTAGAAAATTTTCACCGTGACACCATACATTAAAGTTTGAATTACACATTTAAAGGTTAAAACAAGAGTTAAAACTTTCCTGCATTCCTCACTATGGCATATGATAGCATGAACTTGTTATGATACCATAAAACTTTGTGTATGACTTGCTTTAGTTCCCAAATTCAAATCCTTTGATGTTGTTGGACTGCAGCTGCAATCACTGATTACTGGACATGCTTGTTAGCAACTCAATACTGGAAATAATTGGCCTATGGAAGAGGACAGGCAACCTGATATATCTGATGGTTCTGTCTTCAACTCTCATCAGCATGGCCAGCAGTAAGAGAATATGAGACTGCAATCCACAACACCTTAAAGTATTCGGCTGACTGATTCTAGCTTACAGAGAGGGTTTTTTTCTCAGTACTAAATGCAACTGTTTCAAGGAAAAAGATACTGGTTTAGCCACCAAAGCAGACATAGTATGAGTGCTACCTAGAATGCATATAGGATATCATAGGCAGAAATATACAGCTATGAATTATATTCTTCAGTTAAGTTCATGCCAGATCAGTAACTATGAAACTATCCAAGTTTAACCATGTTAAATGTTAAACATGTTCCAAAAGAACAGAATATATGTAGCTTAGGGTTGAACTCTGGAGTCCTTGGTGTTGTATGAGCTTGGTTGTTTGTTTGCAGATGTTTCATTATCCGACTAGGTAACATCATTAGTGCTAGCGAGTGTGGGGCTTGTTCCCCATTTACAAACAGTAGCTTGTTCTGCCAGTGTTAGTGGGGGTGTGGTTTCCTCCTTGGTAGCTCTTTGATTAGGGTATTATTTTCTGCTTGATTGTTTGTCTCCTTGGTAGTTCCTTATTAGGGTATTGTTTTTTGCTTGATTGTTTGTCTGGTGTTAATCCCTGCTTCTCTGGGTGTAGGTTGCTGGAAAGGATGTGCTCTTTTTGTTTCCTTCTTATCTTTTTTATTGTCTCTCTTGGTGTATATTTGTGGTTTATCTCTATGTGTCTGTGATGGCTGATTTGTCTGAATGCCAAGCTTCCAAGAATTCCCTAGCATTTTTTGGATTTAGCTTGGTCTAGGATGTTGTGTTTCCCAGCTGAAACTATGGTTGAGTCTGTTTAGATTAAGGAGTTTTCATCATGTCTTCTGACTGCTAGTTGGTGTTCACAGATGTGCTGTGCCAGTCTTCTGCCTGTCTGTCCTACATAGTGGCTGTTACAGACCTTACATTGTATGTTGTAGATGTTTTCTCTTCTTGGGTCTACTGGGTCTTTTGGTTTACTCAAAATGTTTTGAAGGGCTTCAGTTGGTCTGTGTGCTATGGTGATGCCTTACGGTTGTAATAATCTGTTGGTTGTTTCTGAGATGTTTTTGATGTATGGTAGTATTATCCTTTTCATAGCTTGTGTTGGTTGTGCTGTAGTGGGTTGAGTGGTCAGATATTTTTTGATAAAGTTGTGTAGGTATCCATTTTGTTGGAAGATGTTGTATAGGTGGTCTATTTCCTTTTTCTGCTGTTCTGGGTTGCTGCAATGCATTTGTATTCGTCTGAATAATGTTCTTATGCAGCTCCTCTTGTGGGAGGTTGGGTTGTTACTTTGATAATGAAACACTTGGTTAGTGTGGGTTGTTTTTCAATAAATAATACCCTATCGAGGAACTACTAAGGAGAAAACCACACCTTCACTAACACTGGCAGGGCAAGCTACTATATATAAACAGGAAATAAACCCCACACTCACTAGCATTGATGATATCACCTAGTTGGGTAATGAAATGTCTGCAAGCAGACAACCAAGCTCAGAGTGCACCAAGGACTCTACTGTTAAGCATGTTACCACTGAAAGATATTTGCATATGTTCATCCCACTTCATCATACTGTAAGAATACATAGATGCATCAGTATAAAGACTTACCTAATTCAGCATTCTGTTGCACTATGTCTAACAAAATTCCTACTGGAAGTCCACAAGCAAGACATGAATGCAGTAGCATTCTTTTACTATTATTCTAGAATGACTGGTAATCTGAGGCCTGCTGCCTCTGATACTCGAAGAAGCATTCTGACTATAAGTCTATCCTCTGTGAATTTCTTTTATCTGTTCTATTATCTTTGTTCTACTAAACATAGTTGGATTATCTTGATTTTCAGGAACTACTTTTTAAATTCCATACATAGTTTTATAAATTACAAGGCTTTGCAACATTTCAGAAATAATTCAAGGAACAAATCAGTTGCCCTCTGCAGTGCTCTGTAATCCTGAAGAAAAGTGACGCTGTTGTAAAAGAGTTATGGGAAGGTGCTATATTCATACCTCAAAATCCTAATAAATTTTTATGATGTTTCTTTTTTCAAAATCCCCACATTTTCACCTTCCTTCAGGAGAGTTGCTTCAGCCTTCTGGTTATCTTCACTGCCTACATCTCTCCTTGTTTGTTGCCCTATTCACTTTAATATGTAAACTACATGGGGATAGGGTCTTATCTACAGTATACTTACGATACATTTACACTTGGAATCGTAAGCATCCACAACAAGCCACACTGATGGCATATTCATCATGACATCATTGCACAAATGACAGTGGTATGCTTGTGTCATAACGTCTGATGCAAGTATCTGAGTCTCAGGTTTGTATGACTTAATGATACACTTGTCATTCTTCTTCTCTAACCCCCGATGAATGCTCATGCTTAGACTATAGGTAATCCTCGACTTAAGACGGCAATTGGGACCAGAACTTCTATCGCTAAACGATGTAGTTGGAAAGTGTGACCGCATCGCTTAGTGATGGCAATCCCTACAGCCCCGGTTGCCATTGCTAACTGAATCCCACAGTCGTTAGGCGAAGCAACTTCCTGCCAACTTCCCACAACCAATATTAGGGAGAAGCCAGCAGGAAGTTGCAAATGTGTGGGGGTGTGGGGAAGATGCACAAGGGGTGCAGCATGGATCAGGGAGGGTGTGCAAGGGTGCAGTATGGGTCAGGTAGGGTGAGTGGGTCTGCATGAGTGGCTGGCAGGGAAGGTCGCAAGTTATTCGCAACCTTCCCTGCTGGCTTCCCCATTGATTTTCTAGGGAAGCCGTCAGGGAAGGTTGCAAAATGGCGATCACATGATCATGTGATTGCAGGGATGCTGGGACAGCTGGAACTCTGAGGAATGGTTGTAACCGCCATTCGTTCAGCGCCATTGTAACTTCAAATAGTCACTGAACGAATAGTCGTAGGTCGAGGACTACCTGTCCTTTATTTTAAACATTATTAAATAATTTTCATAAGGTAATATTTAAAATAATTAGCAATGAAATGAAAAGTGTGATGAGATATGAATTGTTCGTTATTAAAGAAACATAACTTTCTTGTACTAAAAATACAATTTCATTGTTGCTGTTTTTAACACTGGCATAGAACATCTTTTTCTTCATTTTTGGTACAAGTTGAAGAAAAATAATAAGTTAATAACTGAAAAGCAGTAAGAACTTTAAGAGTTCTGAAACAGCAAGATTCAGTTTCTACCTGGCTTTTATCAGGGTTCTAGCCTTGTCATCCCAGTGTTCAGACACTGTTAAAAGTTCTTGCAGCCTGGCCATTGCCTTCTCGACTGCAGGGTGAGGTGCTAGTCCAACACCAGAGTCTATGAGCCTTCTCATATCATCAAGAGTGAGAGAAGTATGGTCCAAGCAAACATTTTGCACATCTTCCAACCAGCGTGCTTGTTCTAAGCGTATTCTTAATTCACCAAGCTGGGGAAGGTCAACATCAAAGTCAAAACTGACATCTAAGAGTTCTTGTAGTTCTGAAGCACTGGGAATTTCTTCAGAGAGGAGTTTTTCACTGTATTTCTGAAAGTCTTCTACACGATTAAGAAGATCCTAAAATATGGAATAGCAATAAATAAATAAATAAATAAATAAATAAATAAATAAATAATAAAATTCCCAAACCAGAATTTTAGCAGTTTCTTTCAATTATTGTAATTGCATTTCACATTTGGTAGGAAATAGTGTAGATTACTTCTGTAATTAAGTAACAAAACTTTAGAATGCAAGGTATGTTTCTCTCTAAATTAATTACATTATTTAAGGTTTAGGATTTAACCATTCTTCATTAGATTTGCAGTGGAGGACCCTAGCCTGTGCCTAGAGGGATCAGATGGGACAAATAAAGCTAAAATAGAATGTTAAAAAAATGCTAAAACATTTTTTTAAAGAGATTGTATCAACAATCTGGCTTCATCATAGGTTTCGTCTTGTCTGTGGATAGGATCTCACTGTACCTGATGCAATATCTGTCACTTGGGAGTTCTCCTAAATCCTCCTAAATCAGCAAATAGAGGTCATGGAATCCCTGTTAGTTCATACAGTTTATGAACAGGTTAATACCAACCAGATCTACAATGATATTCACTTATTCAAATTCTTGGATCTTTGAAAATATAAGAAGGTATCTTCATATTTATTATTTGGGGGAAAATTCTACTTCTCTCCATTTACAGTAATTCCATGTTACCTTCAGTAATGTTGTTTGGGTAAGGACACATGGTAAAGCATACAGTTGTCTAACAAATAAGCGGAGTTCATTTACGGTCAGCTGATTTTGAGATTTTCCTCCTCCAGACCGGTATCTGCAATTACACAGAAAAGTTTTATATGACCAAAGGTAGATTAAATACTTAATTCTATAATCTGAGATAATATATAGATTGAGAGATTTCTTCCCTATCCTTCACTAAAATGTTTAGGATAGCCTGAATTATACTTCAATTAGTAATTTTCAACTTATTTCATCTTTATTCAACTTATTTATTAAAATAATGCTTGTTAGTATGTAAATACTATTATTCTCAAACCAGACATTGCATTAGAATCACAATCAGGTGAACAGATTTCTATGGACCATGCTCTCTGTGCTGGCAGTCCAATTCTGCTGCCATCTCATCATCGATTAGAATAGGAGGGCACAATATGTGCCTCCTGAAAACTCTGCATACAGCACCTAAAATATCATGGCCTACTTTGAGGATAACACTTGGGTACTTCTACCAAGCTCTCTGCACCAGTTCAGCTAGACCCTAGTGTCCACTAGTCTGAGATCCTAAGCCCAAGATTGCAATATAAGCCACCCAACTATAATGTACAGCAGCAGTCCCAAATTAAATGTGAGATGGGCTGTTCAAATTGTATAAACTGTCCTACTTTAAGATGTGAATCTGGGATGGTGGGAAAAGACTTAGCGGGAGATATGTGAGAAGTAATCCAGTGCCTTAATATGTTTTTCATATGCAGGAGCATCCCTCTTCAAATAATTAAGACAGCTTTTTCCAGGCTTGCAGGATATTTTCCCAGCTTCTAGCAAAGTAGCCGTGTTTGTATGTGCACTCATCCTATGGAGCAGTTTATGAAGCAGCCACATGAGCCCAGAAAGGATATGACTGGTTTAATGATTTGAAGAAAGATCTTTGTACACATTCCTATATGTTGCAAAGCACTTTATTCAAAGGTATTGTACAACATGAAATAATTATTCTTTTGCTGCTTCCAACTGGTAATCTGACTCAGAACAGGACAACAAGACCCATTTAAAAATTGTTTCCTAAATGTAAGCCACTCATTAAACTCCAACAGGCAGTAATGTAAAGTCTGCAGTGACTTCACTGAATAACCCTCCCTTCTTCATATTTTTATTAACATCTTGGGAGAAAATAAAAAAAATGTAGCTATGCATTCTGCTGCAATATATTTTAACTACAGTGTGCATGGCATGCGCGCGCACGACACACATACACACTGGGTTGGCCCTGGAAAAAAAAGTACAGTCCTCAGGCATTTGGTAAAATGTTTCAATCCTCTTAGATTTCACTAGTAGTTTTCATCCAATTGTAATTGGGGAGATTTGAGTTTCTTCTCACATATCTTGCCCTAAGTGTTCTCCCACCATCCCAGATTCACTTCTTAAAGTAGGACAGTCAGTAGAATTCTTGTTGTAACTTTAACCTTCCTTATAATAAATACTGATAATCAGAGTTTCTAGATTCTTATCTATCTAGGCTGCAAGGAGGTAATTCAGACCACAGAATAACATGTAGTTGGCAGTCAGCACTGATGCATTTGTATCCATGGGCTCAAATACCAATCCTGGGTAAACCATATTTCAAGTATTACTGATTTTGTCATGCACAACACTTGTTCAGCATATGAGTGTTTAATCCTCAATATTAGAGTGAGAAAATGAAATGAATGAAATTGAAGATAATACTTTCAAGTTTGATGTTAAATTTTGAATTTCCAAAGATAATTAAAAGACAGTATGCCATCTATGATAAAAGAATGATCTCATGGTTCTTGGAGGACTTATTAAAACTTGCTAAGGATGAAGAAAAGGGCATCACTGAGAACTTTCACAGTTGATGCATTAATGCTAGTTCTCTAAAATCACAGACAGATAGAGCAACACTAGTGGGATGGCCACTACTGAAATTAGTACAATATATGATTGAATGATTAAAAAAAAAAAAGATCAATATTTCTTATTTGTAGGTCTCATTAGTCATATTATGGCTAAAGGCAAGCAACAGAGGTGATCTTATGATTATTTTATTTTGTTATTCCTGTTTACTTAATAATACCAATTAGGTATTGGAAAATATTCCATTCTGGAGAAGGAACATTTTCTAAACTCTAGAACCACACCAATCCAGTTATTTCAGGTTGGATTGACAGTTTTCCAGTAGTAAACCTTCCATAAAGGAAGTAGCTCATAGTATTCTGGACACGCTCCGGTCTATAGATGAAAATTTTCCAAGATTTCTTCTGGAGTCATGAGATATTCAGTATAGATCATACACATGATAGTGCTAATTTGATATTACCTAGCATGGAAAATAAGATGAAGGCATGATCATGGAGTTACCCTGAGTTAGCAAGAGCAAAGTAGACAATAAGCAGCAACAACTCTTGGTTTGTTCGAGATCAGTAATCTTTCTTCCTTAGAGCCAGACTGAACTTAAACTATTTGATCAGCGTCTAGCTAAAAAACAGGAGCATACTTCTCCAGCTTCATACCAGAAGAGAACACTGTCAAGCCCAATGGCTGTTATGCGTGTGGAATGGACCCAGTACTGATGATTAGCATCAAGATTACTTATGTGGACAATTTTTTTGCCTATTCAAGAAATTTTATCCATCTTGTTAGACGCTAACAAGGTGGCAATGCATGAAGGAAGAATGAATGGGTAGAGAGGAAGGGGAAACAGAAAAGGCTGGGGATGAATGAAATCCTCAAAAAGAAGAAGGTGAGAAATTTAAAAAACAAAAGGTAACATATGAAGCCATGTATGCATTTGGTGGAAACAAGGATGGTTTGGAAGGATAGAATGATATGGAAAGGTATAATGAATTCTGTTGGCATTAAACTATATTTCCTTTCCTTTTTCTTATACTATATCTTAATTTCTTTGGTTTACTATTTCTTGCTTCGTTGTGCATTGTATAATGTTACTTATTGCCTTGCGGACAGTCACTCGTGCCCTCCTTATCTCCCAGATAGACTACTGCAATGCGCTCTACATGGGGCTACCCTTGAAGA